CGTCGTAACGACCGAGCGATCATAAGGTTCATTTTACAACAGATATGTAATAAAATCTTCGTAAAAATACAACAAACAAAATATATGTTAGATCAGCAGTTACTTATTTATATGAAACGGTAAGGTTTTTAGTGACGGTCATAAAACGATGTTCTTAACAATGGTTGACAATAAAACATGAAAAGTGCGTTAACTGCCTATAAAGTCTGTTTTTAGTAGGACGTTAAACAAAATCGGACTGCGAATAGGTCAGGCTGTGTTATGGGAGGCATTTGATCACCTCCGCATAATGATATATTTGATTATTGCTTTTATAATAACTATCGTGGGACATACTAAATTAACTAAAAATCGCGGATTGCTCACGTGTAAACACTGAGAAAATCTCAGAGGGGCGCGAAATCTTCGCGACCGCGCACGCTGCTCATGAGGAAGAACCCCTCTGTGGTTCGAAACTAGTAGAGCTTTACTCAGTATTTTTACGCGAGTACATCGTAACTTTTAGTTAATGTTTGATTATTATGTTGCATTGTTTTGAATAATGAGATCGCTTATGGTATGAGTCACAATCATCATCAATAGTTACATTCCAGTATCGAAGTATGGGCCTCTTCTATAGAAGAGGGTTGTAACACTCTTCAAATAATCATATCACATTGTTAATAAACCAGCGGACCCCGCGAAGTTTGATTCGCTATGAATTTCATTACCTTTGTTAACTTCTTTTTTTTCTAATTATAACCAATGAAGAATAAGCGAATTTGGTTCATCTATTCTCGAGATTTGCGCTTAGGTACCATTCAGCGATTTTTTGTATATATCTAGATGTGATCAAACACAAGGGGTATGTGGAAACGTATTTAACTGCTTCAATAAATGGATTACATATATATTTTTTATAGTATGTAGTCAACACATTTTATAAAAGTTTTTTTTTATTAAATACATATATGTCACAGATTCATGTTTTATAAACTGTGTGCGGTTGTCAACTGCATACCCAATAAAATAAATAAAACTACAATTTTTATAGCATATTTTTGTACGCAACTTTGTCGCTACACAATATAACTAGATTTTTAAAATAAAAATAAACATAAAGTGTCCTGAATTTATATTCGACATAGTTTCAAAATGGTTTATTGCTAGAAATCGGATTTGAATATTCAATCACTAAACAAGAAAATAAAACAAATACACCTTAAAATAAATTAAAATGAAAATAATAAACATAAAGAAAAATCAAAAGACTATTCTTTAAAAATAAATATGTACCACATAATCTCACTGCCCTGTACCGATGAAGCAAAATTATTTACAAAGTATTTAATTAAAATTCTTGGCAACTTTGTTAAACAATCTACGCTTCACATGCTAAGAATCTGTGTGCTACACACGTAGCGTAGTTGCTACGAAAATCTGTAGGCGGGGCATAACAGTCAAGTGCTACGAATGCTACGGCGACAGCTTGGACACTGCTACGCGTGCTACGAGCTCCATTGTACGGTAGCATGCAAATGCTGTAATCTCCAAATAAAATGTCAACATAGAGAATGAATATTTTAACAAAGTAATGCGTATGTTGGTGCATTCTTTTATTTAGAATTCATACTTGATTCGGTGCCACAAATAGTAAAACACTTTAATTATTAACTGTGCACAAATTGACTGGATTAATGAGAGGTAAACAAATAATACCTTGTTTTTATAATAACTACAGGGAGACATACCAAATTAACTAAAATCGCGGGTTACTCACTCTCAGCGAGCACTCAGTACTGCACGACGTCGCCGCGACCGCGCACGTTGCTCATAAGGAAGAATCCCTCTGTGGTTCGAAACTAGTAGAGCTCTTCTTAGTATATTCACGTGAGTAACCCGCGATTTTAGTTAAAATAATACTTTAACGAAAAATAACCTGCATGTAGTCTGTTTTTGTTCTGTTGTTGTACATATATTTAAAAAGCAGCCGTAAAATGATAACAACACGAGTCAATTTGGTTTCAGCAAATACAGTATGTCCTCCAGCGAACGTTGATCTAATACATCGCATCACTTACCCGCAACTCTCTAGAGATATTCTTAGTCTTTAACTTGCCTGTGTATTTCGCCCACTACGTTCTCTTTACAAGGTAAGTCGGTAGTCGGTACTCAACCAAGTAAACCGACCAAGATTGCATAATAAATTGGTCTGGATGAACAACCAAACAAAAATGTCGTGGTGGTCCACAAGTTTAAAACGGCTTCGAAACCTACCAACGGCAACTACCAATGTGAACTTTTCCGAGTTATATATACTTTCTAAGATTATTTAGACCCCGCTGACAAACGGTGAATGAAAACATAGAGAGGAAACTTGGGTTTATAATTTCTAATTATATGTAAGTGTGAAATTACGAACCTGCATTTGAGTGACCTGCGTGGTGATTAATGATCGAATCTTCTCCGTGCGAGAAGAAGCTTTTGGTCAGAAGTGGCCACTTATAGGAAAGTAGATGAAAAACTACACGATTAGAATGTTGTAATCTTTCTTGAATAGCGTGGGAAGATGTCGTGCTAAGCAGACCAAGATTTATAAACGTGGGCGTATACTTCTAGTTTCATTTGTACTTAAGACATTTAAGTAGCTTTGTTGAGAATAAAGGTTTCGTTTCAATAACAATGTCGGTTTTATTTCGTAAAAATGCTATTTATTCTTGTTAAGGAGATGTTAACCCACGCTTGCTTTGAGAGTCTGAGATGAAATGAGACCCTATTTATCAGACGGAACATGATGTTTAAAGATATAATTGTGATTATAAGACTTATTCCATGACTGACAAGGTTGCGAATTATAAAACTCTTCAGTGATAAACTGCCCTAATGCTATGCAAATATGTTTATTATGCATAATATTAAAATCTTTTTTCAAGTACACTTAATTAAAAATAAGCGATGATATCCGACATATTATAACAGCAAGTTTATTGTCTCATATCTTTTCATTTTATTTTTATGAAATTTCAACGAAAATTCTCTCCATATTTTTTGTGTTACGACCGATATGGGCTCTTTATTAAGAAATATTTTTTAACATAGCCGAAACATTTTTCTTAATGATGTAATCCAACCTTGGTTCACCCGAAAAGCTAAGGAATTTAATTAGTTCATTTAAGATTACATTTTTTAGAAACAAAGAAAGAGTATCGGCCCGTATTTAAGTACTCTTTCTTGTTGTTCCTTATTTTCGATCAATAAATATTTTCTATTGTTGTAATAATTAAATTATACTTTACATATTACTTTTCAATTTTTTTTATGGGATAAGCCAGTAAACGTGCTGACGAAACACCTGATGGGAAGCAGTCAACGTCGTCCATGGACACCAGAAACACCAGAGGCGTTACAAGTGCGTTACCGGCCTTTTGGGAATTGGGAATTTGAGGATTATGCGGGATTCGGGGATCGGGGAGACTGGGGAGGGAGGGTAAATGAGTCTCCGGTAGTGAGGTCACTTACATGATGAAACACAACGCAAGCGTTGTTTCACGTCGGTTTTCTGTGAGGCCGTGGTATCGCTCCGATTGAGCCACCCCATTCGTGCCGAAGCATGGCTCTCCCACTCTTATTATCCCACACATATTTAATCAATACATAGTATAAAACAAAGTCGCTTTCGCTGTATGTCCGTATGTATGCTTAGATCTTTAAAACTACGCAACGTATTTTGATGCGGTTTTTTTTAATAGATAGAGTGATTCTTAAGGAAGGTTTGTATGTATAATACATGCATATTGCACCCGTGCGAAGCCGGGGCGGGTCGCTAGTATTATATAAAATGCACTGTTGTATTTATTTGTACAAACGATACCGTACTTTTAATTATTTCGGATAGCCCAACAGTACTTATTTAGTATTGTTCTAAAGAAAAAGGCGAACGCATCTTCAATGATTTTTCATTCCTTTGACATTAACAGTACGCAGGGAAAAGTCCGTCCTAACCCATAAATACTGACGGACCACTTAAAATAATTCTCAAACTTCCAAGTTTTTCAACGTACCCATAAAAATCCGGGGCGGTTTATTCATTAAAATAACTGGAAGTGGACTCAGCGAAATAACACAATTTGAAATTATTATACCGACCGCCATTGCTTAACTAGACCAAGTTAAGACTTAAGTTAAAAGTTCGCCGGTCACAGATAACGTTACGCCATCGAATTACGATTCGGATGTAGGTTAACTTAGATGAGTTAAGTGTTTTTGCTGCTTTGCGGATTTAAGGACTACAGTAAAGTTCGAGTCTAATATTTATGATACGTTCCCAAAGTTGCTCCACTTCGATTTTTCCTCAAAGTTTTTTATGAAGTTAGAAACAATTGTTATTTTGTCCTGTATCGTTGGTTGCATTTAGGATATGTAATGGAAAAGTTTTATTGAGAAATAGTGAGACGTCAGGAAGATACGACTTTGAGGAAATGCTATCTCCACTCATTTCTAATGTATGAGTGGATATTATTACTTATACGTGGGTTGTGAATCATTGACCAATGGCGAAAGTAATCAAATCCCCACTTATAAAAAGAGGGGATTTGATTTCATAGTTTCCAGATGTTAACTAACTATTGTTAGAGCTTTTTTTTTAAAACCCAGCACTACTTTGCCCGACGCGGGAATTGAACCCCTCGACGGGAGTCGCAGTCAAAAGGTGACGCAATAAAACAGTGTGTCAATATCCTTCACTCGTTTTACGAGTACTTGTATTTTATTCCTCTATGGCATACATAACAGCTAGTGATAATCATATCATCATAATCAGGTAGAATACGTGTACTGCTAAACAGAGACTCTTAAGTGGAGGTTTACTATAATCCTACGCTTGACTGGGAACTAAGCAAACTAGAGGTACAATTACCGTCACCGATATTTTAGTAAATGCTGCTATCCATCTCTCAGAAGAAGTAAGATAGTAATAACAAGAGAATGTATTTTTAGGTCTAAGTAAAACCAAATGTACTCACATCAACATCGATCCCAGGTTGTGCAAAGATCCTTGTGAACGGATACTCTTTAGGCAGGTAACTGAAGAACTCCTGCCGCCCTCTATACCACTTTACACTATATAACGTCTCATTTCCTTCTAGAGTCCACTTGCAGCCAAGAAGCACTGTGTCACCAAGTTTTACTGCTGATGGGGCTATGAGTTGCACATCTCGAAGCGCTATGGCATCTGAAACAAAAAAGAATTTATATTGAATACTGTCTCATACTCTTCTATAGACCAAACAAAAGAGACTAGTAAGAGGAAGCCTCAATTGACGTTCCCGACGTTACTATTCCAACACATGATCAGAAAAAATAGAATAAATAGTTATCCCGGAAAATTGTTAAGTTCTACAATTTATTTGAGAACCAACCATATGTTTTTATACATAACAACATCACGCCTTTTTATCCCCGAAGGGGTAGGCAGAGGCGCACATCACGGCACTTAATACCACTGTACAATGTAACGCCCACCTTTCACTATTTATGTTACTGAGTCCCATGTAATAGGAGGTGAGCCTATTACCGTATACCGGGCACAATTCCAGACTCCGTGCTATTACTGTGATTTTTTAAAATCCAATAAAACTGTGCCCGACCCGGGAATCGAATTCGAGACCCCATGCCCGGGAGTCGCACTTGCGACCACTTGGCCAATGAGGCAGCCTGAGCATGCATGCAGGAGCCTGTGTTTTTATACATGACATAATATATTATTCAAATACATAGGTCACCATGAAAATACCACGACATAATAATATCACAATCTAACCACCCTTTCATAAGAGATCAGCAAAAAAAGACATTTTCCCCTCATTTCGTTGTAAATAACATTTGATTCAATATGTCTGTACTTGGTCCCAATCTAGCAACTGATACCGTCGGTAAATCAATTTAGCGAAGTAATGTACAGAAACATTTGTTCCAATGTCGTATATTCTTTTTCTCTGGCCGCCATCATGTTGTGGTATCGAGATGTGGTAGGGTGTGATTGAAAGCGTGCAGCAGTTTTCGCGTTAGCGATTTTCATTTAATGAACGTTATAATAATTTATGACTATGAGTGCACTATTTTAATAAATAATTGAAGAACACGTATTTTTAATTCATTCAAGTTGATTGTAGATTTTAATTTTTGTTGGCCAAAAATTGGATACAAATGAACGGGCAATACAATAACAAAATAATAAAACAATGAAAGTCCGTTTAAACGAAATTATATTTCGAGATGGCTATGCAAAAAAGTTGCTATATTTGAAAGAAAGAAAGAAAACCATTTATTTTGCTACGACACACAAAAGTCAACAGTCATTTGAACAAACATTCACCTTTACCAATACAATATCCCTATTAATATATTTCAATATCACATTATTACTTTATCTGTGTAAACGATATTTACCCCCAACCAATATTAAAAACAGGTAACGGTAACCTCACATCCACAACCCACTTAGCAATATTTGAGACGCAATATATCGCAGAAGAATACTGTTAGTTGACTGAACGTTTCATAACATGTTGCACATCAATTGTTGTCTAATTTACACGAGGCTTTAACTAATATCGCTCTAAGCTACAGTTCATCGCGTCCCGCTACAACTACGACCCCACCATGCCATTGGGTCGCTTTGACCGCAAACAATTACATTACACCAAGCGACGCCTGCTCTTAATACAATTACAAGACACACGCCCGATTTATTTATAATTACACCTTCTTGATATAATCAGGTGTTTTATATCTATATAATGAAAATTTTAAGTTAATACTGATATTATAAATTGATATGGAAGTAACTTTGTTTGTCTGTCTATCTGACAAACTTTTGCGAAATGCATGAAAATGTTGAAAGAATTGTTTTTATTCCCGAAATATCGTGAAAGAATTAAACTACAGTCTGATGATCGAGAAGTTTTTATAACAGCGTAGATATAAAACATATACATAATGGAAACGACATCGTCGTCGTCGCGGGTTCGATTCCCGCACGGAACAAGTCTTTGTGTAATCCACAAATTGTTGTTTCGGGTCCAGGTGTCATGTGTATGTGAACTTAATGTTTGTAAACGCACCCACGACACAGGAGAAAATCCTAGTGTGGAGCAACGTTTTATTAAAAAAATATATATCAATACTATACTGTTAAATATTATTTCTAGATCTTTTGCCAATTTCCAAGTTAATTTGAATATCTTCAAATCAACTGTCATATCTAACAAAAGCTTGAAGTAAAAGTCTATGCAGATGTAATCATAGACTGAAGCTAATTAGTTGTCATTGGTTTAATTGGATAATTACAATGTTACATGTAATTACGCGATGTGTCGCTTTGAGTAGTGCAGTAAATAGCACTGTGTATATCTTAATGTAGATTCCATTGATATGTAGGAATTTGTGGATTGTTAGAAACAATAACTTGGAGTAGTTTTGTGATTATTACGTATGTGTTAAGATATGTATTAATTGAAAACCGAAGCAAACATAACAAACGTAATAACTTTACTACCTATTTGATAAAAATTAAGTTCCAACGAAACTACAAAGTGGTTTTACATACGTTTATTTTATTTTTTTAAATAACTTTGCCCCACACTAGGATTATCTCCTGTGTCGTGGGTGCGTCTACAAACATACAAGTTCACATACACATGACTCCCAGACCCGGAACAACAATTTGTGGATCACACAAAGAATAGTTCCGTCCAGAAATCGAACCCACGACACGTTGCGCGGCAGCCAGTTGACCAGTCACCGCGCCAACCGTGCAGTTACTAGATTTTCAGAAAACTATTTGCTTCAAAACTTATATGAAACTATTGACTTTTGTTACTATTTTATCAATAAATATTATCCAAAATAAACTCAATTTTTACTCTTACATACATAAACTCGATATTATATTACTTCAAACAATTCACGCAATAGATAAATTTTACTCCAGGGACCTTACTCCTGTCGGCGATATTTTAGTATTGGAGAAAAAACAATACATAAAAGACCGACTAACACCAGGGGAGCATAAAAAGAAACATTTGACAGAAGGTATGAGCGATTGTATGCGCGTGTCGAGGTGCAATTCATCATAATACGCAACTAAATGTCGAGAACAATTTGGGAGAAATTGTTCTTTCGGTCAAGTTTGGCCAATAGGGTAGATGACTAATTTTTATTTTATTTAACCCTTTGAGTACCGTCATTATAGACACAATTAAAGAACAATAGGTTGTTAATACCGGTGTTCTCGCAGTGTTTGACAGTTTAATGTTCGTCTGGTAGATTATTTAAACACATTACACACGTATTTTTTATGTTGTTACGAAAACGAATAGTGTTTCGAAGATATATTGACTTGAAATACCGCATGACGTCACTTTTGAGTACGATTTATACTCTAACATGACGTAGTTACCTCTCACACCTAAACTTTGATTAGTTTTATCTAAGTATTGTTTTCTTATACGACAAAATAAAAAAATACGTGTTGAATATTTTTTTCATTACTAACTGACAGACTAATTAGATTTTTAATTTTACATACATAACATCACGCCTTTTATCCCCGAAGGGGTAGGCAGAGGTGTACATTAATGCCACTGCACAATGTAACACCCACTTTTCACTATTTATGTTATGAGTCCCATGTAATAGGGGGTGAGCCTATTGCCATATACCGGGCACAATTCCAGACTCCGTGCTACTACTGGGAATTTTTGAAAAACCCAGTAATACTTTGCCCGACCCGGGAATCGAACCAGAGACCCCTTGCCCGGCAGGCGCACTTGCGACCACTCGGCCAATGAGTCAGTCAGATTTTTAATTTTCATACCCTGTTATTATTCCTATTGGCTTGAATTTTTGAAAGACTTTAAAAAAGTTCTTAACAAACTTATGGTTACTCTTTTTTATTGTCTTTTGTTGTCTAATTCTAGTTTTGTGTATTACTATTAGATAATTTTGTTTTTCATTCCTTACTTGGTTACAAGGTTTGAAACACGCACCCTCGTGAACGAAAAGCGAGCGTCTTAAACCTGGTGCTGGCACTTACGCGTAAGATTAACGGAAAACCAATAACATAACATAACATAAAACAATGAATTGACTTGAATGTCCAATAACATACTTTACGATAGTCAATACATTTTGTAAGCGTTCAAAATCCAGAATCACTTTGTAAGCGAAAAACGTTTGGCCTCTAATAACCCGACAAATTGTGAAGAAACTAAGGTCGAGATATGTTAGTACAGAGTTCAGATCGTCCATTACATAATAGTCAATTCAGCCTGTTAAGAACCCAATTATGTTTTAATTCATTTCATCATCATGTATTCATGCAGAACTTATATAGATTTGAATCTTACATATTTTTATCAATTGTTATAAAAAAAGTTTTACATCATTCTATTAAAATTCACATCCAAATTAATCACCAAGTATCTAGTGAAATAACAGGTCGTATATCATAATAAGAATAGGTGCCTAACAAACGGTAAACATTAATCAATAGTGGGAAACAGTAACAGCTAATAAGTCATAACAGGAAAAAGTTAATTCGTGATGTAACGTACCCCGACGAACGGAACCTCGTGATAAATTAAGTGAGCAACTTGCTTCTTAGGGAAACTTCCAGAAATAATCGCGTCCTTCCTTATCTTTTGTAGGAACACTTACAATTTGTTTAATATCGGAGGAATTGGCGCTGAATTATCATAGATTCGACCCTCGTGGTCTGGTGTGCAGACGATGACCCAGAGATAACACTCTCTCTTGTTTTCAAAGGAATTTTCTTTTTCTTTGAATTTTTGCTGAGTAGCATCGTTTTTTTTTTAGTAACAAAATTTTACTTTATTCTTGTCGAGTCTTGACGAATTAATTTCTAAGTGAAAAATAAATTACATTTGTAATTATCTGAGACAGAAATTATACATAGTTTATTTATTCATAAACAATTTGAATTGTATTTTTGTAACTAAAGAAAAACAATAAATAAGTAGAAAATTAATTGTCTCTTTATTATATTATAAATAAGCCAAAAAAGTAATATAAATATAAAAGTAATGTTGATTAAATATTTTTCTGTAGTCTTATTTCGTAATGAATCAAACAAAATTATACTTTCTTTAATAAACATTTATTTATTCATATAATATTACCATATAGCATTTATTTATAAATAAACATTAC